GTTTTCTGCATTGCATAGCTGCAAAAAACGCATAAAAATTGAATTGCCAATATAGTTTAACTGGGAAATTAAGTCCTAAAAACTATTTATACAATTCTCTTTCGGGCTGACGTAGTAAGAAGTACCGCTGCTTTAGTCTAAAACACCAGCGATTTGAATCCGCAATTAGTAAAACAATTCGTTCGTTCATTTTGATGGCAAACTGATACTGGCATATGCCAGAGGTTCAAACCTACCATCAGCTTGCTTCTACGCAACCCTCGACAACCTGGGCAGCGGGTGGTTGCTGCTGACATTTCCTACTACTCAGGCTACTTCCCGAGCATCTCCGCTTCTCAGACAGAGCGAAATGGAGATTTTATTTTCAACAAATCCCTTCAAGAAAAAAAATAAACCTTGCAAAGCTCGTTTGCGAATGGTCCCAGGATCTCGGGATCAGCTCCTTGCCATTCATCGATTGTGACAATACGATGTGAATTCTGTTCACCGACTACTGCCAAATTTTGAGCATTATCCCCTTGATTACCACCGTCCACCAAGAAAACATAGGCATTCATGTCATCTCGCAATAGACGAGCGCTGCTCTCTGGATTATCCCTAGAAACGTAATTCTGAATAGACTCTGTCTTGCATTTTATATACTGATTTTTGATTTTGTAAGCCTGGAAAAAATTTTCACAATTAATTATGAAGTCGATTCTACTGAAAATTGTTATATTCTGTAACTGAAGTCCATGTTTTCCAAGCATGTTTTGTCTTTGGCGATGCTTCGGTGGGTTAAAAAAACTCAGGTGTTAACTTGAAGCACTATGGTACCTGGATCGACCATTTGAGAATATCATTACGATTCGCGGCACATCCTTTGCACCAGAAATCAGGAATTCTCCGGAAGCATCGCGTAAAGCATCACCAAGATGAGCAGGCCCACGCATCCGTCTCGTTTCACTAATTTTCGATAGAAGTTGAGCTGGACTGTTGTAATCACCCAATGATACAGGGATTTGCACCTACAAAAAAAGAAATGCAGATTGCAGGAGAAACACTGGAGCTTCACTGGATACACTACACAAGGTTGTTCTGCAACGATACTAGTGGAATGTACGTTTGCAAATGTCACACCCTAGGTCGTTTGAAATGAGACTACAAGGCTGAAAGTTTGAGGTCCTAGCTTCCTAACAGTTAGATGATAATACTTATGGGAGAAAAAGAGAACGGCAGGACCAGTGGGCTGACCATAAGACGACTCAGTAGTAGTCAAGGCAAGTGGGAGGGTTTTGGAAGAGTTAACCTGGACTCACTCTCCAGTTATGCAACTAGTAAGTGACATGATGAGTCACTTACTAGTTGCATAACTAGAGAGCGACACTGTAAAATATGACTGATGAAAATAAAGTTTGTAACATTCTGAAATTAGCACTGAAACCAGTCTGCTTGTTGTCCACATTCAGATGCAAAAGGACAATATAATTTTGATAATAACCTTATCGCCGTATTTGATGACTCCGACTCTTATAAAATTGCGATGTAAATTAACATGTTTAAGCAAGAAATTCTCGATAAATTCTTTCATGACGCGGTAATCCACAACTTTAACATTGCTTGAAGCATCCAAAACCAGCAACAAATCGGCATTCGCATTCACAGTGCAGTACGGTGATTGACTAAGTCTGAAAAATATACCGCTATTTTCGAATGGAAATAATTTTATCATAATAAAAAAACATGTTCCAATTTTTGTTCCGAATTTTAAAAAAATTACCCAGCCAGATCCAGAAATTTGAACGCGAAAATATGAGCAGCAGATGAAGGCTGCTGAGGCGCAACTGTTTCCTCTTTCATTTTAACTAATCCTGTTATCTCTTTTATTTCTTAATATACACAGACTGCATTTACTATTTCCAACTTAATTTTGATTTTAAATGTTCCCTCTCCATCAAACCTACCTCCTTTTTTTCTAATTTCTAATCATTCTGAAATTTTTCACTTGCTCTAAAATTTCCAAGATTATTAGGATCGCTGGGTCAATCAGTCTCGACATCCCATGTAAGTGATATTGCTCAGATGCATACATAATGTGAATAGCTGTGTCAGACTTTTCGATTACCCAATTTAGACTTGACAACACAATTCCTACCAGGTTACGCAATTTTGATAAACGGCTAAGGTCAAAAGGGCCAGATAAGGTGCGCTTGACATGCAGTTCTATCTGGGTGATATTGAGGGGCGCACACTGGCAACCTGAGCAATCGCAATAATTCATTGGAACGATGAAAAATCTCATAACATAGGACACCTTGGAGATATCGTTGGGTAGAGTCGCCCTTGCGTTGTTGATTCGTCCATCGTCCACACATAACTGCCACGTTCGTCCTTTGCCAGCGGCTTTCCGCTTCTGTCAACTGGTACACCACTGTTATCCGTACGTATCGGGTAACCATATGGGTCCAGGTACTGTTCCGAATAATCGGTAGGGAGTGGTCTTCCGTCTTTGTTAACAATTACGAAACCTGGCCTTCCTCTTCGTGTGGTCGTGGTTTCATAAGGATACAGGTAGTTACCATCTGCCATTTTCTGAAGTGGTCTTCCATCGGCAGTGATCACCGGACGTCCATTTTTGTCGATATGAACTACGCGCCGTCCGCTGTCATCAATGTATGCACCAGTGCTATCAGTTGGTAGAGGACGACCATTCGGAAGCAGAATCAAGAACGAGGAAGGTCCAGTAGTTGTTGGTATGTAGGGGGCTGAAACAGTTTCTGGATCAGGTCTTATGAACGGATATACGAAAAAGCCATCTTCGTCTGTCGGCAGCACTTTACCAATAATGGTTTCTTTCGTTAGGTGGTAACGTCCACTGGAATCTGTTGGAAGCACTGAACCATCTTCGCTGCTCAGTGGCAAACCATTAGAATCTGTTGGTATCGCTCGACCATCTGGAAGAATACGTGCACCTGACCAGTCGGTTGGCAGGAGTTGTCTGTCGGGCCCAATTACCGGATAAACCGGTTTTCCAGTATCATCAGTTGCCGAAAGATGTACACTAATCGGATAAACGTAACGATTTTCACTGTCCTTTGGCAGAACCAGACCATCTGGTCCAAGAGGTTGTCCTTCACCATCAGTTTCTATTGGCCGTCCATTTGGACTCACATAGCTACCGTACTGATTGGTTGGTAATAGTTTTCCACGGGGATCTACAACAAGATATAGCGGGTGGCCACTTTCGTCAGTTGGTAGAACTTCTGTTATTTTTTGGCGACCAGCAATTATGAAGCGGCCTCGAACATCGGTCGGCAGGGGTGACCCACTGGGGCCGACTGGTTTCCCAGAACTATCTGTTGGAACCGGTTTACCGTCCGGGCCAACAACTGCACCAGTTTCACTAGTTGGTAGCAATTCTCCATCCGGTCCTATTACATGGTATACCGGCCGTTTTTGTACATCTGTTGGTAGTGGACTACCATCTGGACCAACTTCTGCATGTATGTAGTAGCCGGCTTTATCGGTTGGTAGAACTTGTCCTTGTTGGTCAACAGGAAATCCTTCATCGTTTGTTGGCACTAGACGTCCAAACGTATCGACGTGAGCACCAGAGCTATCAGTCGCTAACAACTGACCATCCGCTCCCGCTACTGGATAAACCACACGACCGGAAGCATCGGTTGCAAGTTCTGCCAATTTCTTGTCTGCTACATATCTCCCATAATAATCGGTTGGTAATGGCCTTCCTTCGCGACTGACTGGAACCCCAGCATCGTCTGTTGGAATTGGCTGACCGTTGCGTCGCACCACTGCACCGGTTTCATCGGTTGGCAGAACACGGCCTTTTGAATCAATTACGGTGTAGACTGGTCGTCGGTTGATATCAGTAGCTAGCGGGATTCCATCTGGTCCAACCTCTGTAAATATGTAGCGGCCTTTATCATCCGTAGGAAACACTCTTCCACGGTAATCGACAGGCAGACCGGCATCGTTTGTCGGAATGGATTTTCCGAGTTTATCAATACTTGTTCCGGAACTATCAGTTGGAAGTAAGTGGCCATCCGACCCAACAACTGCATACAGAATACGTCCGGTTTCATCAGTTGGTAGCACTCGCATAAGAATCTCGTCTTCGCCCAACATGTAACGGCCCTGATCGTCTTTGGGCAGTGGAGCACCTTCACTATCAATGGGTCGACCGTAAGTGTCCGTTGGAATTGGTCTACCATCAAGATCTACCACTAAACCTGAATCATCCGTTGGCAAAGGCTCTCCATCTGGATCCAAAACAGTATAAACTGGCCGCAGGTGTACATCGGTAGGTAATCGTTTTCCGTCGACGTCTACTGCAGGATACAAGTAATTACCGTTTTCATCTGTTGGTAACACTCGACCCTCGCTGTCAACCGGCAAACCGGACTGGCTGGTTGGAATCGGATGCCCGAAACTGTCGAGATGTTTGCCGGAACTATCTGTTGGTAGTGGCTCTCCATATGGACCAATTATTTGATAAATGACATGCCTGCTATCACCGGTTGGTCTTGGAGCTGCTATCCGGCCCATTAGATAACGACCACGGCTATCTGTTGGCATCGGTTTACCACTGCTGTCTATTGGTCTACCGTAGTTATCAGTAGGCAGCGGTTTTCCTCTGTGATCCATAACTACACCGGTGTTGTCAGTCGGAAGCAATTTACCATCCGGTCCTACTACCTTGTATACCGGTTTACCACTAGTATCCGTTGGCAAAGGTCTGCCGTCCCAGTCAACAGCCGGTTGAATGAAATAGCCATCATCGTTTGCTGATAAGGCGTTCCCGTCGAAATCAATCGGAACTCCAACTTCGTTCGTAGGAACGGGTCTTCCAAACCTGTCAATATATGCACCAGCACTGTCAGTTGCCAGCAGCTTACTGTCCGGACCAATAACTGGATATAGAACACGACCTGTTTCGTCAGTTGGTAACATCTCCTTGATTCTTTTCCGTCCAATTACAAACCGCCCACGATCATCAGTTGGAAGTGGAGATCCATCGGCTCCTACTGGTTTCCCATACTGGTCGGTTGGCAGTGGTTCTCCATTAGGACCCCAAATCATTCCTGTTTTCCTATCCACAGGTAACAATTTGCCATCTGGTCCAACCGCAATGTACACCGGTTTTCCGCTTTCACTTGTTGGAAGTGGGCTACCATCTGGACCAAGAGCTGGATACAAGTAGTAACCATCACTATCTGTTGGTAAAACATTGCCACTGGTGTCAACCGGATGCCCGTTTTCATCTGTGGGTACTGGGCGTCCAAATTTGTCGATCTTCCGACCGGTGGCATCAGTTAACAATGGTTCGCCGTTAGCATCGATAATGGGGTAAATTATACGCCCAGAATTATCGGTTGGCAAGATTTCTGGCTTCATCTTCTCTTTGTGGATTATGTGTCGGCCATATTCATCTGTGGGAAGTGGTTTTCCATAAGCGTCAACGGGTCTACCTGATCCGTCAGTTGGTACTGGCCTACCATCATATCCTAAGAGAACTTTTGTTCTCTGAATCGTTGGTTGTGGTTCGCTGTCGGGCCCGATTGCAAAGTACACTGGTACTCCATTTTCGTCGGTCGGAAGTGGACTACCATCTGAGCCAATAGCCGGATATACAAAGTACCCACTATCATCCGTAGGTAGAACTTTTCTATCACCATCAAGAGGTAAACCATCTTCACTGGTCGGTATTGGTCGACCAAATTTATCGATCATCGCACCGGATGCATCTGTAGGCATGGGTTCGCCATACGGGCCAATAACAGGGTAGATAATATGTCCAGATCCATCGGTTGGCAAGACTTCAGGCCTTAGCTTTGCTTTGCGAATGATGTAACGACCATATACATCAGTGGGTAATAGCCTTCCATAACTGTCCACGGGTCTGCCTGACTTGTCAGTTGGCACGGGTTTTCCATCAGGATGTAAAACAATTCCTGATATTTTATCTGTGGGCAAATATCTGCCGTCAGGACCAACCACTGGATATATTGGTTTTCCTTGCCTGTCAGTGGGCAGCAACCGGCCGTCAGGACCGATAACAGGATGCATGAAATATCCGTCATCACTCGTTGGCAGCACATTTCCATAGCTATCAACCGGAAAACCATATTCATTTGTTGGGATCGGTTTACCGGACCAATCAACTACAGCACCGTATGCATCAGTTGACAGCAGTTCGCCATCTGGTCCGATTACTGGGCGCATTACTTGTTCCGTTTCGTCAGTTGGTAAGGTCTTGGCTTTGATTATTTCCGCACTGATAAGATATCGCTTGTATTCATCAGTTGGTAGGGGGGATGCTTCGGCATCAACGGGTCTTCCATATTTATCGGTTGGTATCGGCAATCCGTCAGGCCCCACGAGCTCTCCAGTCGTTTGATCAGTTGCAAGCGGTTCTCTATCAGGCCCTAGAGCAACATACACAGGTCTTCCATGTTTATCGGTTGGCCGAGGTTTGCCGTCAGGACCAACGGCCGGATAAATGAAGTAGCCCCGGTCATCAGTTGGCAATACGTTTCCATCACTGCCCACTGGCAGTCCCTCTTCATTTGTTGGTACCGGTCGTCCGAACTCATCAATTCTTGCACCGGACTCGTCTGTTGGTAGTATTTTACCATCTGGACCGATTACTGGATAAAGAACACGTCCAGTTTCATCCGTTGGCAATGTATGTGCATCAAGTTTTTCTTTGCTAATGAGGAATCGCCCATATTCATCGGTAGGAAGTGGTGATCCATCAGAGCCAATCGGTTTTCCAAATCGGTCAGTTGGTACTGGATGTCCGTCATGTCCGAGAAGTACTCCAGTACGGCTATCAGTTGGCAGCGGCCTACCATCCAGTCCAACGGCATTATAAACCGGTTTCCCACTCCGATCGGTTGGTACGAGACGGCCATCAGGACCCAGTGCCGGAAAGATGTAATTTCCTTCATGTGTGGTCGGCAGTACAACTCCATCTTGGTCAACCGGTAAGCCCTCGACATTTGTCGGTACTGGCCTACCAAAAGCATCTATATGATGTCCAGATTCATCGACTGGAAGTGGTTCACCGTCTGGGCCGATCACTGGATAGACCATTTGTCCTTGTTCATCCATCGGTAAGACTTTTTCCCCTTCATCCAGGACAAATCGGCCATAACCATCAGTCGATAATGGGTACCCATTTGGACCAAGTGGCCGTCCAGATTTATCCGTTGGAATCGGCCGGCCATTAGAATCAACGACAGTTCCCCTTGAATCCGTGGGTAACGGTTCACCGTCGCCTTTTGCAACTACTGTATAAACTGGCCTTCGGTGCACGTCAGTTGGCAGAGGGCTACCATCGGGTCCTAGCACTGGATAAACGAAATAACCATATTCATTTGTTGGCAATACATTTCCTTCTCGATCAACCGGTAGGCCCTGGTTATTTTTTTGGATTTGTCGACTGTACGGATCAACTACATTTCCGGCCCGATCGGTTGGCAGTGGTTCACCATCGGCCCCAATAATCGGAATTATGTATTCTCCTCGTACATCCGTTGGTAAAGTTTTCTGTAGCTTCTCCTTGTCAATCAGAAACCGGCCGTTTCCGTCTGTTGGAAGCGGTGTTCCGTTCGCGTCTATAGGCCTTCCGGTTCTGTCGGTTGGTATTGGTCTTCCGAACAAATCAACAACAACACCAGACGTATCCGTGGAAAGAAGTTCTCCATCAGGTCCGACTACGCTATACACCGGTTTTCCGCTGGAATCAGTGGGGAGCAACAAACTGTCTCGTCTTGTTCCCGGGAAAATATAGTGGCCATCACCGTTTGTTGGTAGGGCTCTTCCAGCGCTGTCCAACGGAACACCTTCTCTATTTGTTACAAGAGGCTTGCCAGAAAAGTCTACAGGAGATCCCTGATCGTCGGTTGGTAAGGGTTCGCCATTTCGGTCAACTACATATAACGGTCTCCCATATCTATCAGTTGGGGCAAACTTCTTGGGTTTCCTCTCGAGATAATGTCCATAATCATCAGTTGGTAACGGATGCCCTTCAGAATCTACCGGTCTTCCAGCGCTGTCTGTTGGAAGCAGTTCACCATTCAAACCAATCGCAGCACCAGATACATCGGTTGGAAGTGGCTCACCATTTGATCCAATAACAGTGTATATTGGTTTTCCACGTTTGTCCGTTGGAAGCGGTTTCCCATCAAGTCCGATCACTGGGTATATATAATTACCATTATCATCGGTCGGCAGCGGTTTGCCGTCTGGATGGAGAGGCATTCCGCTGCTACTCGTTGCAATTGGATTGCCTCGAGAATCCAACGGCCTACCCGAATCGTCGGTTGGCAGCGGTTCGCCATCCGGCCCAACAACAGGATAGAAAATTTTCCTTCCGGCAAAAAGGAAATTGCCATCTTCATCTGTTGGAAGTGGTGAGCCATCTGCGGCAACAGGTCGTCCGAAACTGTCTGTAGGTAATGGTCCACCATCCGGCCCAGTTACACTTCCGTTTTCATCTGTGGGCATTGGCCGACCAGCTGAATCGAGGACGGTGATTGGGCGTTTTTTCTGCTCATCAAGTGATAAAGGTGTCTTGTCTGGTGCAAGTCCTGGATAAATATAGAATCCTTGCTCGTCAGTTGGTACAACAGTAACAGCCACCACAGCAGTGGCCTCCGTGGTAGAAACAGTAGGTTCTTTTGAAGTTACAAGAACTTTTCCGTTTGGTCCTGCAGCTGGATAGATATATCGACCATACTCGTCTGTCGGTAACACTTTACCCTGAGGGCCTAGAGGTACTCCAGAATAGTCAGTAGGTATCACTCTTCCAAATGAATCCATGAACGCTCCGGAATCATCAGTTGCCAGCAACACACCATCAGGACTGGTTATTACATACTTTATGTGTCCATATTCGTCTGTGGGTAGGGTTTTTCCGATCTGCTGCCCAATACCAGCCAAAAACCGACCCTGCGAATCAGTCGGAAGTGGTGACCCATCAACAGACACTGGTTTACCATATTCATTAGTCGAAATCGGCTTGCCATCCGGGCCAATCAGAGAGCCACTTTCGTCCGTTGGAAGCAGATTCCCATCTGGTCCAATAATCGGGTAAACTGGCCTTTTGTTTTCATCTGTGGGCAGCGCTTTACCATCTGGACCAGTAGCTGGGAAATGGTAATGGCCAGAGGAATCAATTGGCAAAGGTTCACCGTCCGGTCCGAGCGGCTTCCCAAAATCGTCGAAAATTACCGCATTTCCGTAACGATCATAATATACACCCGAACTATCAGTTGATAGCGGCTCACCATCCGGCCCTACAATCGGATATATTAGATGTCCACTTTCATCGGTTGGCAATTCTCCTGCAATTTCAGCTTTTTTTAGAATGAATCGACCTCGTGCGTCAGTTGGTAAAGGTGATCCGTCGATACCTATCGGTCTTCCACTGCGATCTGTAGGTACCATATCTCCATCCGGTTTCAATACCAAACCGTCATCATTGGTTGGCAGTAACTTGTCGTCTGGCCCCAAAACTGGATAAATCGGCCGCCTGTACCGATCTGTTGGTAATGCCTGTCCATCTGGCCCAGTTGCTGGATACACAAAATTACCGTAGTTGTCCGTCGGAAGAGGTTTTCCATCCGGAGCAATAGGCTTTCCGGCACCGTCAAGCAGTACTGGGTTCCCGAAAGCATCCACGGATTTTCCAGATTCATCCGTAGGTAACGGGCTTCCATCTGGCCCAATTATTCGGTACACTACATGAACACTTTCGTCCGTTGGCAGCACCTTTGCTGTTTGATCTTCATCGTAGATGAAGCGACCACTGCTGTCCGTCAAAAGGGGAGATCCACGAATGTCAACCGGCCTTCCGCTTCTATCAGTGGGTATCGGTTTTCCGGAAGAATCGACTACTTGCCCGCTTCCGTCCGTTGGTAACAGTTGTCCATTTGGACCAACGACGGGATACACTGGCCGTTTATTTGCGTCTGTTGGCAGTGGTATACCATCAGGGCCAATAATAGGATAGACATAACGTCCCAAATCATCTTTTGATAAAGGCCTGCCATCCGGACCAATTGGGATTCCATCATCGTTATATGCAATTGGCCTCCCTAAGGAATCAAATGAAACACCAGAACTGTCAGTAGAAAACAGTCTTCCGTCCGGATCAACGATCGGGTAGAGAACAGTTGGTAGCGGTTTACCGTAGGAACCAATCACTGTTGGTTTTTTCATGATCCGTGTTGGATGTAGCTGCCCATCTGGTCCTACAGCTTCGTAAATGAAGAAGCCGTCTTCGTCTGTTGGCAGAATATTTCCATCTGAGTCGATCGGATAGCCAAATACATTTGTCGGAATCGGAATACCTTCACCATTCATTTCCGAGTCTTTATCAGTGAAGATAAATTTTGGGAAGACATCAGCGGGCTTTTTCGTGGTTCTCGGGATTCCTGAAACCAGATCATTCAGTTTTCCACGTACGAGCGAAAAATTTTAGTTTGACTCGTATGTTACGCGTGAGCAATACCTGATAGTAGGGCACCCGTGGGGCGAAACTTTCGCTGCTCCGAAGAATTCCATACAAAGTCCAAATCTTTCGTTACTAACATTTTCTAGACAGTTGGAAATATTCTAAGCGCAGCAGGTGCCAACAGCAAGGCTGTTAAATTTCAAGTGGTTTACTACACTCGCTATTCAAAATAGGCTCAAACAAGTAGGCATTGAATGTCTTGGTCAGTCCTTGTTTTTCCTTATGTTTTTCCTGTTATGAGTGTAACTAATGTTAATCTATTTCATGAACTAAAATCCAGTGAACGAATAGGTTCTTGAAAAAAAATACTGACCAGTGGGTTTTCTGGTTTGTGCTAAATGGCTCTTCATAAGCATCAAGCAAATATCGCTTCGAAGCTTCTTAATTTCCCGGTCATCTTTCAACCGGTACCACTGATCTGGTCCCAGTGATATGATTGAAATTGTCTCGTTCACTCTTAAGTGGCTTGCCAGTATCTGCGCACTTTTGCTGCAATTTGCAACTTGAATTTACTCGACATCCTTAAAACTGTTATTAGTTCATGATTGTGGCATTAATGACGAATCAAACAAGCTAACAGAATCCAACTAAAGATATAAATATTTTGTTTTTGCACAACTGAATCACTAGCTTGTGCTAGATCCACGTCTGCCTATTTGTCCGGACAATTCAACTTGGGCCTGTAAAAGCCAAAGAGTTGGAAGCACAAGCCGAATCACATACGAGGCAACAACGTTGAAATTAACTTTGAATTTGTTTTGTGCACTGACCAATGGCCCCTAATTCGGACTACACTTGCATCTCCAACACAAAATTGAGGAAATGAAACTCCGAAGATTTAAATCATTTCGTTAAACTGCCAAAATATACTGATTTGTAACCAAGGGTCCAAGCTCACTCTAATTTTAAATTCAGAGAGCTGCAAGTTTTTTATCATTTGAGGGGATAACTTTTGAGTCCCACCGTCCTCCCCCCCTGCCGCCCGCATCCACTTTTTATGAGACAGAGAGGCGCTCAGAAGTAGCTGAAACATCAAGCTCTAAACAGTTGGAAACGCAATCGAAAAACTTATGATTAGAAGCGAACTAACAGCAGGTACTAGTAGGAATACATCAGCGCCAATCTACCATTGTAATGAATGAATGAACTAAAAGATTGGTTGATCGCACTGCATCAGTAAAAGTTTTTCAGATTAACCTTATAGGTGTTCTGTAGATGTGCACAATCAATTCCCCATTATCACTGTCGTATTTTTCACGGAACAGCTGCAACGCGGTTCTCATTGCGTGCTCATCGCCGGATGAGGCACCACCAATAAACGGTAAATTTCGGACTGAATCTTCCAAATCCTTGTAGCTCCGGTAGTTGCCGATATCCATATTCACATCCACGGTACTTCCATAAGCAATCATCCCGACTTTAGCAATTTGCCAGTCGATGTTACGCCGGATGAAATCAAGCAGCGAATGCTTGATTTCGTTAAGTTTTGATCTGGTTGCATCCGAGGATTCTACCATAAAGATGATATTTGCCACTTCTTTTACTTTATCACATGCTGACGCTTCAGCAAGCAAATCCGGCTCCCGCAAATCTGTTGCGTCCGGTAGGTAATCCGAAATGTACCGACCTCGATGATCCACAGGCATCACAGAACCGCCCAGACCAATGGGCTGACCGGAACTGTCGGTTGGTATCACTGTCCCATCCGGATATACCGCGTCCCCATATTCATTTGTGGGCAACGGCCTGCCAAACAAATCGATGACAACCGGTTTTTGTCCACTTGGTATCTGATCCGGCTCTATTTTGGCACCGATTGGTTTGCCCGCGAAGTCCACCTCAATTGGCAGTTGTCTTCCTCGGCTATCCACAAATTCTCCGGTTTCATCGGTTGCTAGTAATTCTCCATCGGGCCCCTGGAAGTAAATCCGACCATATTCATCAGAAGGTAGTGGTTTGCCACCTGGAGTATAGAGAGGTCGCCCAGCATAATCAGTGGGCATTATCGAGCCATCTAGTGCAATCGGTAGTCCTTCTTCATTGGTTGGTAGTAGTTCACCATCAGATTTGACCACAGGATAAATAGGCCTTTTATTCAAATCAGTTGGCAGAGGCTTTCCATCGTAGTCAAGCTTTGGATAGACGTACATACCATATTCATTCGTAGGAAGAGGTTCGCCGTCTGGACCAAGTGGTTTCCCGCTATCATCCCGATCTACTGGCCGTCCCGCACCATCGATGTACCTTCCAGACACATCCGTCGACAGCGGTACTTTATCTGGCCCGACAACGGGATATAAAAAGAATCCAGCGGAGTCAGTTGGGCGTACTGTCTTTTCCCTAACATCAACAATAACATTATATTCAGTATCAAACGGATATGGCGAGCCCTGTGGGTCGATGTATCGCCCAAATGAGTCTGTAGGAAGAGGCAGCCCACTTGCACCTATCGGTATGCCATTGTCATTTGTTGGCAATGGTTCTCCCCGTGAGTTAATCGCTTTGTAAACTGGACGTTTGTTGGAATCAGTGGGTAGTGGTTTTCCGTAGTTATCAAGAGCCGGGTAAATGTACACACCGGATTTGTCAGTTGGTAACGGATCCTTGTCCGGACCAATTGGTTTTCCGTAATCGTTGAACTCAACTGGTTCTCCAAATCGATTCACGACTAAACCGGCTTCATTGGTGGGCAACGCCTTTCCAGCTGGATCCTGAATTGGGTAGATAACGTGACCGTATTGATCAGTAGCTAGAACAGTTGGCTGGGTGGCTGGTGGCCTGAAAACTCGACCGTGTTCATCAGTTGGAAGCGGTGAGCCATCGAGATGCTCGAACTCTCCAGCCTTCCACTTTGGCGGTACTCTGGTTGTTGGTATTGGAATTTTCCCAGTCCTGCATTCTTCTTCGATCATTTTCGCGATGGTTTCTGCTTCTAGCTCCTTCCACGTATCAACAAGAATGTAGGAATCAGTTCGATCTTTGATTTCTTCTTCAAATTCAGTAGTTCCAACAACAAGGATAGGAAAATTGTCGTCAGCATGATCGTCCGGATATCTGAAGAAAAAGCCTTACAGGATTTTCAAATAAGTTCTTTAGACACTATAAAAGTGTTCATCGATTTTGCAAAGCCGATAATTTTTCCGAAAAAGAAAGTATTTGTTCTAAAATATTTCAATTTCTTGGTCCAAAAAAATGACTAAACAGTCGTAAAATGTTTTGAATTACATCCAAAATGCATAAAAATTTTGAAATACAACCAACATGTCCTGGCCGTCGGTTATTACCAATAACAGTTTGCCAGCTCCATCCCTACCAAATGACACAAATTGCTGCTTGGCCGCACTGACGCCAACGATGAATCTGGAATGCTCCTTGAATTGATCAACTTCAATCTGGCTTAAATCTTGCAACAATTCCGCTTTTTCGTTGTAGCCTCCCAGAGTGACTGGTACTTCGGCGGTACCACTGTATTTGATCACAGCGAACTGCGTCATATCCGGTGCAAGGTTGAAATACTTATCCACTAAATAATGGATCACATTCTTTACGTGATCGAAGCTTACGCGATCCAAGACTTCTACGTTAACTGCCACCACTATGTCCATTACACCTTCATGGGTGCTGCAGTTTTCCTTCTTCGGAAGCAGGATAGCATTTCCAATGGGATCAGTCGGCAGCGCAAAACCATCCTCATCCAATGGTTGTCCAGCACGATTGGTAGGAAGCGGTCGTCCGCTTTTTATGTCCACTGCCAAACCTTCACTGTTTGTCGGTAATGGCTCACCGTTAGGGCCAATGACTGGATATATAGGCCGATGTCGAGCATCGGTCGGGTATGGTTCTCCATCTGGTTGTAGTACTGGGTAGATGTAGGCACCGTACTCGTCTGTTGGCAAAATTTCTCCATCCGGTCCCAGCGGACGTCCATTTTTGTCTGTTGGTATCTTTCGACCCTCTTCCAAAACGAACTGGCCATCCTCATCAGTAGGTAACAGCTGACCTGCAGGCCCATAAATACCTTGCGAAACGGTCGATGCAGTCTTTTGAACAGTATCCAAAACCAGATTACCCTCAGTATCAGTTGGAAGTATTTGTCCCTCTAAATCCAGCGGCAGTCCGAATTCATCAGTCGGAAGTAGCTGCCCGTCAGGACCAGTGACACCTCCATCTTTTTCAGTTGGCAAAGGTCTTCTTACGGTATCAACAACTTTCGGTTTTCCTCTCTGATCCGGCACTTCTGATTTTTGACGAGTTGTATCGAATATGTAATAGCCTGTTTCACTGGTTGGCAAGACTACCCCATTAGCCGACACAGGTTTTCCGTCTTCATTTTCGGCTACTGGCTGCCCATCACGACCCAAAAAGTTTCCAGCTTCGTCTGTAGGCAACGGTCTGTTCCGTTCATCAACGATGCGATACGGTTTTAACTTCGGCAATATTCTTGGTGTTAGTACGTAAACGCCACGTTCATTAGTAGGTAAGACCCGGCCCTGCTCATCCATCGGAACACCTCCGGGTCCGGTTGGAATGACTGACCCGTCTTCTCGAACATAAAAGCCGCCGTCAGTGGTGGGTAGTAGACGCCCGGAATCACCTTCAACAATGCCGACAAGCTCCGTTGCAACTGCTTCGGCTGTTTTTGCCTTGAAGATAAAACGTCCCTCATTATCTGTCGGTAACAGCTCGCCGTCCGGTCCAATTGGTTTTCCCGATTTGCTAGTAGGTAGCGGAAGACCATCAGGGCCAACAACTCCTCCGCCAGGAGCCGTCGGAAGAGGTTGCCCATCTAGTCCAATAACTGGGTGCACTGGTCGACCGGCTCGATCTGTTGGTAACGGTTTACCTAGCGCATCCAGATCCGGGAAAACGTAGTTGCCCGCGGAGTCAGTTGGTAGTACGTTACCATCCGGATCGATGGGAAGATAATTTTCGTTTAGTTCAACCGGAATTCCATTTCGAGTGACATACGCTCCGCTGTGGTCTTTTTCCAGTGGTTTCCCATCGCTATCAACAATCGGATAAATGATATGCCCATATTCGTTCGTAGCCAGTGTTGGTTGCGGTGGTTCCGGGGGGAGGTGAATGATGCGGCCGAACTCATCAGTTGGAAGCGGTGAAGCATCTTGGCCAATCGGTCTTCCTGCAGCGTTGGTTGGCAGTGGGATACCATCCAGTCCAACAACTAAACCATCCTCGTTTGTTGGCAAGCTTTGACCATTAGGCCCAATTACTGGATAAACTGGTCTTCCGTGTTTATCAGTTGGCAACGGTGAGCCATCTGGCAGTGTAACCGGATAGATAATATTGCCAGAAGCATCAGTTGGCATTGGCCGACCTTCTTTGTCCAGAGGCCATCCACTGTCATCAGTTGGCAGCAATTCACCATCAAGTCCAAAAACAGAACCATCGCTATCGGTGACCAGGGGCACTCCGTCTGGCCCAATCAATGGCCGCCGCAATCGGCCTGGTACAAGAGTTGTTGAAATCTGATACAATGCATTGCCCTGTGCATCCGTCGGCAATGGCTTACCATCATCAGCAATCGGTACGCCTGCAGCGTTCGTCGGAATCGGTCTGCCCTCACTGTCCACAGGTCGGCCCTCTTCATTTCGTTCCAATGGTGCTCCGTCCAGTCCAACAACAGGATAAATTGGTCTTCCGCTTCTATCAGTAGGCAGTGGTTCCACATCCACGCCTCTTGCAGGATATATTATAATCCCGTCAGGACCCTTTGGCAAAGGTCGGCCTCGGCTGTCAACAGGATGACCAGTTTCATCAGTTGGAATTGTTCTACCTGCAGGGTCCAGGATTGTGCCATCTTGACCCTGAGGTAGCAGATCGCCATCTGGGCCGATGACTGCATACACATGTCTTCCACTTTTGTCTGTAGGGTGCTCCACGACGATTACATGCGGATAAATGAAATACCCGGTAGAATCAGTCGATAACGGGATACCTTTCTTGTCAACAGGTATACCTGCTGCATTTGTCGGTATTGCTTCCCCCTTCTTATCCACAACTGCACCATCAATATTTGTTGAAAACAGCTCACCATCCGACCCAACAACCGGGTATACCGGCCGCCCACTTGAATCAGTTGGAACCGGTTCAACATCTAAGCCCCTCTGAGGATAAAAGACGTTTCCGTCAACATCCTTCGGTAATGGCCTGCCACGATAATCAACCGGAATTCCTGCCTGATTTGTTGGAATTGGTTGACCATCTGGACCTATAACGACGCCGTTATCATTTGTAGGCAGAGGTTCTCCGTCTGGTCCAATAACCAGGTACACCGGCTTGCCAAACTTATCCACTGGCAAAAGCTTCTCTGCTTCTTCCTCATACACTATGTTACCGCCTATATCCGTAGGTAGCGGCTGTCCATGATCATCAACCGGTATACCCGCAGCATTGGTAGGCAAAGGCTTCCCTTTCTCATCAACTGGCAAACCTTGTTCGTCTGTTGGCAAAACTTGACCGTCAGGACCAAAAACCGGATAAACTGGTCGGCCATTAGTATCAGTTGGAAGCAGTTCACCGTCAAAACTCTTGGCCGGATAAATGGCATTTCCAGAGCGGTCCGTAGGCAGTGGTTCGCCATGTCTGTTAATAGGTCTTCCTTGACTATCCACCGCTATAGGATGGCCGTCCGGGCCCATGACTTTGCCGGATTCGTCGGTTGGTAGTAATTCACCGTCTGGCCCAATCACTGAATATACCGGTAGCCCTTGGTCGTCTGTTGGTCTGATTTTTTTCCGATAGATCAGATTTCCTTTGTCATCAGTTGGCAGTGGTTTTCCATATTCATCAAGCGGTACACCAACTTCATTGGTCGGTAACGGTGATCCATTCGGACCAATAATAGTTCCATCCTCACCAGTAGGTAGCGGTTCACCATTCATACCGATAACGCTGTAAATCGGCTTTCCTGTTTCGTCAGTGGCCGGTAGCTCAACATCGAGACCGGTTGCCGGATAAATGAAATTGCCATGCATATCTTTAGGTAACTGCTCACCACGATGGTTCGTTGGCACTCCAGCTGCGTTGATTGGTAAAATACGGCCATCCGGGCCGACAACAGCACCATCCGCGGTTGTTGGTAGTGGTTTCCCATCCGGGCCTATTACAGGATACACCGGTATCCCGCTTTTATCTGTCGCAGGTAATTGTTTGTCAAGGCCGGTTGCCGGATATAAGACGTTGCCACTTCGATCAGTGGGAAGCACTTCACCTCTGTTGTTCACAGGAAAACCGGCAGCATTGGTTGGAAGCGGTCCGCCATCAGGTCCAACAACCGCCCCATCCGCATTCGTCATCAGCGGTTCTCCGTTTGGCCCAATAACAGTGTAAACCGGCCTTCCACTTTTATCAGTCGGCTGCATTTCAGCTCGAAGGCCTTTGGCTGGATAAATGATGTTACCGTCCTTATCCTTTGGCAGTGGCTGTCCACGGTAATTAAGCAAGATTCCAGTCTTACTTGTTGGTATAAGTCTTCCATCTGGCCCAATCACCATTCCGTCCTCGGATGTTGGCAATGGCTTTCCATCTGGACCAATGACCAGAAGACTTGGGCGTGTGCTGAGAGCTATTTCTGGACCAGACGAATACAACACATTTCCCTCACGGTCAGTTGGAAGCGGTTCACCATATTCATTTATAGGAACTCCTGCAATGTTTGTTGGTAACGGTCGTCCATGCGAATCCACTACAGCTCCAGTTCGATCAGTCCCTAATAGTTTTCCATCTGGACCTATCACAGGGTAAACAGGTTTTCCGCTGAAGTCTGTAGGAAGCGGTTCTGTATCCAAACCTTTTGCTGGATAAACGACATTGCCTTCTCGGTCTCTTGGCAATGGCCTTCCATAATCATCCACTGGAATCCCGGCGGCATTTGTCGGTATTGGTCTTCCTGCGGGATCAAGAACATTACCATCAGCATTTCGTGGTAAAAGTTCGCCATCCGGCCCAACCACCGGATACACTGGTCTTCCACTACGATCAGTTGGAAGCGGAGACGCGTCGGGTCCACCAGCTGGATAAATCACATTGCCGTCCCGGTCTCTCGGCAGTGGCCGTCCCTTACTGTCAACCGGAATACCGGCAGCATTCGTAGGTACCGGTCGACCGGACGGATCTAAAACTGCTCCAGTGCGGTCATGTGGCAACAGTTTTCCATCAGGTCCAACAATCGGATAAACCGGTTTCCCGCTTTGGTCGGTTGGTAGTGGCTCACCATCAATACCACGCGCAGGATAAACCAAAGTACCCGTGTGGTCCTTAGGGAGCGGTCTACCTCTCTTGTCAACAGGTACGCCAGCAGCATTGGTAGGCAGTGGACGTCCATGCGGATCTACGACGTTCCCATCTTTATTTGTTGCCAGTGGTTCTCCATCAGGACCAATTACCGGATAAACTGGTTTTCCAATTCTATCAGTAGGAAGTGGCTCACCATCCAAACCGTGGTCCGGAAAAAGGACAACCCCGGTTCTATCTCTAGGCAGTGGCCGTCCTCGGTTATCAATCGGGAAGCCGTCATCATTTGTTGGAATCGGATTCCCATACTGGTCAACCACGGCACCAGCTTCGTTATGAGGCAGCAATTCACCATCCGGACTAATTACGGGATACACTCGCTTTCCAGTTCTGTCTGTTGGCAGCAATTCTCCGTAAATTCCACCGGTTGGATACAGCATTTGTCCGGATTTATCTTTCAGTAGCGGACGCCCTTGCTGATCAATCGGAACACCGGCAATGTTTGTTGGCAGAGGTCTTCCGTATAAATCCAGCACTTCTCCACTAGAACCACGAGGTAGCAGTTCTCCGCTTGGGCCAATGACGGGGTAAACTGGTTTACCATAAGCATCGGTGGGAAGAACTGCAGCGTCTAATCCACCATCAGGATAGATAATATTACCGTAGTGATCGCGAGGTAACGGCTCGCCGCGATTGTTGATTAGAACGCCTTCCTGATTGGTTGGAATCGGTTTCCCGTCTGGATCAAGCACTGCTCCATCAGCATTCGTTGGCAGTGGTTGACCGTCTGGACCAATTACTGGATACAATTGCCTTACGGTGCTACCTGTTGGCATACTTTGCTTCTTATATAAAAATGAACCCGTTTCGTCTGTGGGCAGTACTCGACCCACCTCGTCTACAGGAACTCCGGCACGGTTAGTCGGTATTGGCCTGCCGTCTGGAGCAACTACAACACCGTCAGCATTTCGAGATAGCGGTCTATTGTCTGGGCCAATTACCGGGTAAACTGGGCGGCCAGTCCGGTCTGTAGGAAGTGTCTCGATATCTTGAACAGTTACGGGATAAATAACATTGCCGGTAGTATCTCTTGGCAGCGGTTTTCCTCTTCGATCCACTGGCACTCCTGCGATATTTGTTGGAACCGGCCGTCCCCACGGATCCAAAACGGAACCACTATTGTCGGTTGGTAACGGTTCTCCATCTGGTCCAACAATCGTATAGACCGGTTTCCCCATACGATCAGTTGGAAGAGGCTCAGAATCTGGACCAACAGCTGGATAAATGATGTTGCCGTAACGGTCTCTTGTTAATAGTCTTCCTCGATGATCAACTGGAACCCCAGCAGCATTGGTTGGCAGCGGTCTGCCACGTGGATCCACAACTTCTCCGTAGTCATTCGTTGGTAGCAGCTCACCATCCGGCCCAAGCACTGGATATACAGGTCGTCCGTTTTTATCGGTTGGCACCGGTTCGGCATCTAAACCTCCGATTGGATATATAACGTTACCGGCAAGATCTCGTGCCAGCGGATTGCCATGATTATCAGTTGGATATCCACTAGAATCCGTCGGTATCGGTCTACCATACGGGTCAACTACCATTCCATCAGCATTTTGCGGTAGCGGCTTACCATTTGGACCTAAAATGGTGTATACTGGCTTTCCGGTTCTGTCGGTTGCCGATGTTTGTGGTTCATAACCTTCCGTCGGATAAATTACATAACCGTTACGATCAACAGGCAGTGGCCTTCCGCGATAATCAACAGGAACACCGGCTGCATTTGTAGGTATCGGCCGGCCACTTCTGTCCACTACAGCTCCGTCATGGTTACGCGGTAAGAGACCACCATCAGGCCCAATAACCAAATAAACTGGTCGGCCGCTGCGATCTGTTGGAAGAGGTTCCGCATCAATACCGCTGGCTGGATAAATAATATTGCCAGTTCGGTCGCGTGGCAGCGGTCTTCCTCGGCGATCCACGGGGTAACCGGAAGTATCCGTCGGCAAAGGTTCGCCATCTGGGTCAACCAAAATACCATTCTCGCTTGCCCTCAGTGGTACTCCGTCCGGTCCGATGACGGTATATGTTAGTTTACTTGGTCTTTTTGTTTCTTCGTGGTATCTCACGTAACCATTTCGATCGGTCGGTAAAGGCTTTCCACGCTCGTCTACCGGGAAACCAGCAGCATTCGTTGGTAGTGGCCTGCCATCTGAAGCGATAACTCTGCCTTCTCGATCTCGTGGTAGCAAGCTTCCATCAGGTCCAATCACTGAGTAAACTGGCTTACCGCTGCTGTCGGTAGGAAGCTGCTCAGCGTCCAACCCTTGCGCCGGATAAATGATAGAACCAGTGCGGTCGGTAGGTAGAGGTCGTCCTCTTCGGTCTACCGGGATTCCAGCCGGATTGGTTGGCAGTGGTTGTCCATTCTGATCAACAACTGCTCCATCAGCACCTCTCGGTAACAGTTCGCCATCTGGGCCAATTACTGGATAAACCGGTCTTCCGTGCGGGTCGGTTGGTGGTAGCTGTTGATCCAGGCCATCCTTTGGATAAATTGCTCTTCCATCAGTGTCGGTTGGCAAAGGCTCGTTTCGGTAATTCACTGGAGAGCCTGCGTCATTTGTCGGTATTACCCTTCCAAAAAGATCTAAGACACGTCCATCTTCAGCGGTCGGTAGTAAATTTCCATCGGGTCCGATTATGTCCACTGGTTGGCCCATTCGCTTTTTCTCAACACTAGAAGCTACCGTTCCCCCTTCTTTGGTTACCGGCAGTATGAAGACACCATCCGACCTAGTGGGAAATACGCTGTTGCTTTCATCAACCGGCTGCCCGTAATCATTAACTGGAATCACTTGCCCATCCGGTCCAATAATATGTCCGATTTTATCGCTTTTCAGAGGTTTTCCTTTATACTGGACCTTCACCGGTTTACCACTGGAGTCGGTTGGTAATACATAATCGCCAACAAAGACAAATTTCCCATCGGCATCTATCGATAAAAGTTTACCTCTTTCATCCAAAGGCAGGCCGGCATCATTGGTTGGGATCAGCTGACCATGTTCGTCCGTATACCGTCCACCATCTGTAGTCGGTAATGGTGAGCCATCCGGATAAACTACTGGATAGATTGTTCGTCCAAGCTCATCGGTGGGCAGCGCATGTGGATACACACCATCTTCCTCTTCCGAGCTAAAGACAACAAACCGGCCGTGTTCGTCCGTGGGGTATGGTGATCCGTCAACACTCACTGGTCGTCCAGAAATATCAGTTGGTATCACGCGACCATGTTTATCGATGCTCAATCCCTCTTCGTTGGTCTTTAAAGGTTGATAATCCGGTCCCACAACCGGATAGATGGGCCGCCAGTTAGCATCCGTGGGTAACGGCCACCCGTCTTCCCCAAGTATCGGATAAACGTACTCGCCTCTATGGTTTTTTGGTAAAAGCAATCCATCAGGGCCTAACGGCCGCCCATGATCGTCCCGGTCAACCGGGCGACCAAGATTATTCACTGACTGGCCGTATTCATTCGTAGGCAGCGGTATACCATCCGGACCAAAAACCGCTGGCAAAACTCGTCCCAATTCGTCAGTTGCATAAAATTGCGATGGTTTCTCAGTTACAATATACATGACACGTCCTTCTAAATCGGTCGGAAGCGGTGATGAATCAAGGCCAACCGGTCTTCCGCTGCTATCCGTAGCAACAAGCTGACCATCTGGCCATATCGCCCTTCCATATTCATCGGTTGGTACAGGTCGCCGCTTCAATTCGTCTTCCGGTATCGGTATCCGGTCTTCAAAAATAGTTGGTTTGGTAGACAGTTCTTTCGGATGTTCGAGTTCGGGGAGAAGCGTAGGTGGCGTAACCTGGAATAAATATAGACTTGATTTCAGTTGATCAGTCATGAAGCAAAAAATAAGCAGTTTGCGTTATGGTGCCCAAAACTGCCAAAAAGTGTTATGATACCAATTAGCATCCAGGTAAAGATTTACTCGAACAGTAGTAAAACTACCAAATCTACTAGCGTATTCAACATTTTAAAACACTTCCAGTTTGTTTCTCAAGCATTTCGTGAAAGAATATGCGAAAGATGGTCTTAAGGCGATAAATAGTTATGCGAAGACTTCAGTTGTCCAATCAAAAACTTCATGACCACGTAAATACATGCCACAAGGCGAAGTAAAATTGTGAGATTATGGACATCTCTTGCCTGGACGATGCTACTTCCCTCATCCTCGTCCACTTGCTCGCACGATCTCTGATCGTCTGACAGTTTGAAGCCATTATGACAGTAGCATGATGCAGTTATTGCACCTTCCTCGTTTTCTTCGAACATGCAGGCATGCGCGCAGTCGCACTCAATATCTGCAAATATTCAACTTTTTTTGTGATGTTTCATAGAACTATGAGAATTTTAGGGAGCTCATACCACATATATATATGTTGCCCCTTCAGATCACCTTATATATGCCAGAAATACCGAGGCCACCTAGACAATTCATGTGGGCATCGCATATTAATGATGACACTCATACGTGCTGGGAGCAACTGCGTCAGGCCTTTCATTCCTGAGCTACATTCCTCCAATTATCAAAACCTGGGTTTTGAGGACCAAAACTTTCGCATCCCGAATTTCATCGCTTCCAGGGTGAGAAATTTAGGAATTCCACTATAGGGTTCAATTGCTACCTCCAGCATTTTCTGCGATCTTATTTTTGACTAGAAGTTTACAATTATTCGAAATCCCCATCCAAAACAGTTAAAACGCACTAGGCATTCTTTTCTCACAATTCAGTAAAAACGAACCTCCGGAAGGTGTACGGACTTTCGTTTCTTCACTTGGAAGGTTATCTCCATCATCGAATTTTGCAAACACCTGAAATCATCAAATATAACGGCTTACTATTTCTAGCGTAATTTCATGAAATAGAGTCTCACTCAACATAAACTAGTTATATCTCGAAATGACTAAAGCTTTTGTCAAAGCGCTTCCGTTGGCAGGACCGTTGAGTTGAGAATTCTTAAGCAGACGAAACGAACGCCCCGATAGCCGTTAAACTAACTGATTTCCAGGCGAAACAGCACTCGTCAAAGAAGCTGGAAGAAGTTACCAGCTTGAGCACAACACTATCAAATGCAGCTGTTCAAAATATCAGGGAACAACAGCAACCAGCGTACCACTGAGTACTCTCTATTTAGATGTGTAAATGATAAACCAGGCATTGACGCATTGGGCCTGCTGGTGCGGTCATGCATTTTGTACTAACCTTGAAGCAGTCCGTTCGTTAAAAGTATGGATAATTCCGTTCGTTAAAAGTATGGATAATTGCTGCTTTACAATTTAACATGTGGACTCACGTTGGCTATGTTATTACTTTTTTTTTGCATGCAGGGGGAAAAAGGCGTCGGCTGGGATGGCAGCTTGAATCAAGGGGCTCCTGTAAAATTCCAGCTTCATAGCTTATCTGGTACCCGAAACTGCTAGTTCTCCACAAATACCTTTGACATATTTCAAAGTGTGGTGGAGGTATAATTCGAAGATCATTTAAAGTATACGATTTTCCATATGGAAGACAAACATTCTGGCGAACAGAGCTATTGCTTTTCCGCTTGTTGAGACGGTGCCAAACGTAACCAAATGTGTAACGCAAACGTATACGATAGCTGGATTTGAAGTCTCTAGCTCACACAGAGATAGAGAATAATACCTCTGCAAAGTTCTAGCGTCCTACGTTCATCGGTTCTCGAAACCGTTTCCCACCAAAAAATCTATATATTTTAATAGGTATTCATGAGATCCAGACGTGCATGAGCACTGATTTTAGAAAGGAGGATGGTACATAGGATGGAAATATGCTTTTACAATTTCAGCCTCCCACTTTCTTGGTTGCTGAGTTGAAACTGGGTAACAAAGTTCACTCGGATCCGAATACATGCACAGATATCTTTCGATAACATGCGTTTCGGCATTTGCACAGGAAGGGAAAAAGTATAGAAATAATAAAACAAAGAATGGCTAACCAAGAAATAGTAGTCGCTATCCGGCTGTAGACCCTCTAGAACAATCTGGTCCGTCACATTGAATGGCGTCTCCATGAACATTACCGCTTCGGGATTGCCGTCCGGCCAATATTTGATTATATATTTCTGAAAAAATGATCATATCAGTTAAAAGATGTAGTATAAAACCCATATTACTACAGGATCAAGAAGAATGGGGCACTGAAAATAGGTACAGCGGCTCAAGCACAGAGCGTGTTTTCGTACTGATTTACTAGCGCTATTAGTTATAGGGCAATCGCTTGAGAAGACGACACATGAGAGTGAACTCTAGCATGGACAGCCTGTTAAGTAATAAATTTAAATTAGACAGTCCCTTAACGAATAACAATTATCCACGGATCTGGAGAAATTTCGCGAAAATATCCAATCACTGCAGGATTAGATCAATTTTCAACAGTTAGGCATCATTCGTGTTCTACAAAAATACCAGCTTCTCGACTGCAGGAGAGACCCTAAAATCGCTAGTCCATATTTCTGGCATGCTGTTTGTCTTTCTGATAACAGTGCTCAGGTACTTTGACATGCTACGATTCACAGCGTATTCTCTACTTATGGAGCCTGTGACTTTTCCAGCTACTTCGAACAATGCTGCACCATCCCACCTCCCAGACTAATCCAAAATGTTTAGGTGGCCAAACAATCCCAGGCCTACATCATTTTAAACTTCATAAAAATTAACTTTGATCGGTTGTGTGGCATGCGCTGGCTTGAAGTCCAAAACTGTTTCGCCATTGATATCCGTACCAACACGTATATCGCTCGGAGGTTCTAAAACTGACATTACTATGACACTTTTTTCCAGAACGCTTGCGTAGATAGCTTCATTTTCTAGCTTTTGTATGCCCAGTGCTCCGTGGAATTACATAGAGAATGCAATTTATTTAGAATTAACATTTCAAACCAGTGCTCAAATTTTTAGGAGTCTTTTGTTAGACTATGGTGGTGTAAAAATCTCCGCTCAAATATTGCTAGCAGACACGGTGCAATGACTAGTAACGCTGCTCTTATGCTACAAGTCGATGGCTCAACCCCACCAGTGGTGTCATCAACCTCTCATTCACACATATCGGTGATACTGATGCAGGATACTCCTAGCCTACTGACATGCAGCACTCTCAAAAATTTTTAGAGAGAAAAGAGCAAATGCAAAATTCACTTGGCGTCGTAATTTCGAAGACTGGCGTTTTGATTCCGGAAGATATCTGTTGGATTAATAAGTAGTATTTAGTACCAGGTTCCATTTCAGGAACAATCACACGCTCCAAAGGTTGTTTATCGCTTGGAATCATGCTCCAGCGGTCAAGTGGCTTTGATGGGTTATCGGTCCAGTGAATATTCCAGTCATTCTGTCATTTTACACAAAATTAGTCAACGAGATCTGATTTATAAAAACTGAACTGGAGAAAAGAACTGATTCATTAGACATAAATGAGGTCAGGTTCGAGCCAAAATTCCAAACAAAACTCGTTTTTTTTGAAGTGAAAGAGTGAAAGTGGTTTGAGTAAGTAATTTTAAACTCAGTCAGAACCCAGGCTGGAACGCACCGGGCGGGCCCGTGCGATCATGCGTTTTTGCACAGGACTTGAAG